CAGCAAAGAGAATGTTGATGTATTCCACTGTGTCACTTGGGTTGGAGCACAGTGACATGATCTTAGCTCACTGTGGCCTCCAACTCCTGGACTTGAATGATCTTTCCATCTCAGCCTCCCAATTAGCTGGGACTGTAGTTGCATGCCACGGTACACGGCTAATTTTTGTATCTTTTTTGTGGAGACAAGATCTTTCTGTGTTGCCCAGACAGGTCTCAGGTCTTGAACTCCTGGGCACAAGCAATCTTTCTGCTTTGGCCTCCCACAGTGCTGAGATTACAGGCATGAGCCACCATTTCTGCATATTTAATAATTTTGTTTTTGATAACTAGAAATTTGAAATAATATAATGTGATACTTCTTCACTGTACCAGGATTTTTGTTTTTTATTGTTGTAACTATTATTTATTTAGTGACTCTTCTGAACCAATTCTTTCTTTCCTTTCCCTTTTTTTGAGACAGAGTTTTGCTCTGTCGCCTAGGCTGGAGTGCAGTGGTGCAATCTTGACTCACTGCAACCTCCACCTCCCAGGTTCAAGTTATTCTTGTGCCTCAGCCTCCTGAGTAGCTGGGATTACAGGAGCACGCCACCATGCCCACCTAATTTTTGTATTTTTAGTAGAGATAAGATTTCACCACATTGGCCAGGCTCTAATTTCAGAACATTGGTCTTGAACTCCTGGCCTCAAGTGATCCACTTGCCTCGGCCTCCCAAAATGCTGTGATTACAGACGTGAGCCACCACGCCTGGCCCTGAACCAATTCTTTCACTTCTGTATTCTTTTTCATGTGTGGCTTCTCAAGTTTCAGCTGTTTAACTTACTGGTCAGCTGATCAGTCAACAGAGATTTTCTTCAGTGCATCGATTCAAGAAATCTCCCAGTTTTTCTCAAGGGTCTCTGTGTTGTATTGGGGCACACTTTCCACACTCAGACAGATAGTTGACCACTCTGCCTTAGTCTTCCATTTTTGCTTGCACAGAGCCCCAAGGTTAGAGGCAAGGGTTTTAGGCCTTCTAAGATTTTCCCTGGGCATGATGCTTATGTCTTTCAAATTCCAAGAAATTTGTCAGAGCTTTTCAAAGCCCCATATGGACGTCCCTATTCCCCAGCCTTTTCTTTGTTTTTTGACCAGCTTCATGCTAGCCCATGTGTTATCTGCCCCTCAGTTGTTAAACAATTGCCTAATTGTTTTTGACAAATACCACCAGGGAAAAGGCTGTTGGCACTGAGTGAGGTCTGGTTCAGCCCAAATAAAGAGAACCCCTGAGAATCCTCTAGTGTCCTAGTTGTTTCATTTTGGGGCCCTTGATTTTTAAGGCTTTGTGCAACTGGGGAGATGTAAATAGTAATGTGGCAAATTAATTGCCTCAAAGATCACTTTCTTAGCATAATTTTTTTTGAGACAGGGTCTCTCTTTTACCCAGGCTGGAGTGCAGGGAGTGCGATCATAGCTCACTGCAGCCGTGAACTTCTGGGCTCAAGTGATCCTCCTGCCTCAGCCTCCCAAGGAGCTGCAACCATAGGTGTGTGCTACCACATGCAACTAATTTTTGTTTGTTTTGGAGAGATAGGGTTTTGCCAGATTGCTCAGGCTGGTCTCCCAACACTTGGGCTCAAGCAGTTTGTCCACCTTGGCCTCCCAAAGTGCTGGAATTACAGGCATGAGCCACCGTGCCTGGCTAGTATTCCATTTAAAAAATCATTAGCTGGGCGTGGTGGTGCATGCCTGTAACCTGAGCTACTCAGGAGGCTGAGGCAGGAGAATCACTTGAACCTGGGAGGTGGAGGTTGCAGTGAGCCAAGGTTGTACCATTGCACTCCAGCCTGGGACAAGAGCAAAACTCTGACTCGAAAGAAAGAAAGAAAGAGAGAAAGAGAGAGAGAGAGAGAGAGAGAGAAAGAAAAGAAAAGAAAGAAAGAAAAGAGAGAAAAGAAAGAGAGAGAGAGAGAAAGAAAGAAAGAAAGAAAGAAAAGAAAGAAGAAAAAGAAAGAAAGATTTACTTCATTTCCTAGTGTTGGACATTACTTCTACATTTTCACTAGTTACAAACAGTGCTACAGTGAATATTCTAATATGTGTGTATCTTTGTACATTGCCTTGAAAAACACCAAGTATTAGAAAATTTGAACCAAATACACTAAAAAAAGTTGTATTATCAGCCAGTTGTGGTGACTCATGTAATACAGCACTTTGTGAAGCTGATGCTGGAGGATTACTTGAGGCCAGGAGATTGAGACCAGCCTGGCTAACATAACAAGACCCCATCTCTACAAAATAATAAAAAAAAATTAGCCAGGCATTGTGGCATGTACCTGTAGTCTGAGCTACTTCAGACGGCTAAGGCAGGAGGGTCGCTTGAGGATTGAGGCCATAGTGAGCGGTAATCATGCCACTGCACTCTAGCCTGTACCACAGACCATGACTTTGTTCCTTTAAAAAGAATAAAAGATATGCTATGCTGATGGTCTGAAATTCAAAACACAGAGATGTAAGTGAAGAGAAACTTTTACTCATACACTCCTGTCCTGTACTACTCATGGTTTCTTCCTCAACTATTGTGTGTGTGTGTGTGTGTGTGTGTGTGTGTGTGTGCGCGCGTACGTGTGTGTATAGAAGAGCTAGTCAGGAGATATTACATTTAAAATTTTTTATTTTTTTAGTTAAAATTTTTTTGCAAATGTTTATTCTTAAATGTACAACAGGCTTCAAGACAACACTTCATTCCATCTATAGGTGGCAGAAGATGTTATGGTAGGGAATACAGATGTTTAAATACGAATGAAATCAAGGGTCACCATCTCCTCAGGCACAAGGCCAGATTTTTTTTGTTGCCACATTTTTTTATTTCTTTTTAGATGGAGCCTTGCTTCGTCACCCAGGCTAGAGTGCAATGGTGTGATCTCGGCTCACTGCAACCTCTGCGTTCCAGGTTCAGGCAACTCTTCTGCCTCAGCCTCCTGAGTATTTGGGATTACAGGCGCCTGCCACCATGCCTGGCTAATTTTTGTATTTTTAGTAGAGACAGGGTTTTACCATGTTGGCTAGGCTGCTCTTGAACTCCTGACCTCAGGTGATCCACCTACCTTGGCCTCCCAAAGTGCTGGGATTACAGGCATGAGCCACTGTGCCGGATCCAGATTCCTTAATTTCGCCTGTGACCAGGGGGCCCTTCCCCATGGCCTTTAATTTTAATTCCTATTTTTGTTTCTTCTGCTCCTCTTTTTGTTTCTACTTGAAAGCCTTATCTTCATCCATCCCCTTGGCCTGTTTCTTGGGCTGTTTCAGCAGCACCTTCACAGCTGGACATGGCACCTGCTGTGCCTTCCCCAGACCCTGCCAGCTTACATTTAAAATTTCTGTAGACTTGCCAAATTCCCCTCTTTGAACTAGATAGGCTTCTAATTGGAATCAGGTAGATTTATAGTATTGACCAAAGTTTTGTACATGGGCCAACATGTACAGTGAGCCATCTCATACCTTTGTAAGTCTTTTGATTGGTATGGTTTGGTTCATATGCTCCTCATTAAGTAGCTACAAGCAATGTCTAATTGGAATTATTTAGACTTGAATGTGTATATTTGATTCACATCTTTATCTTGAAAATGACTTTAGCAGGGACCTGGTGAGAGAGAGCTCTTGAGCCCAGGTGTCTGAGACCAGCCTGGGCAACATGGTGAAACGCCATCTACAAAAATACAAAAATTAGCCGGGTATTGTAGCACGTGCCTGTAGTCCCAGCTATTTGGGAGGTTGAGGTGGGAGAATCCCTTGAGCCTTGGAGGTCGAGACTGCAGAGAGCTGTGGATCTCATTATACCCTCCAGCCTGGGTGACAGAGGAAGACCCTGTCTCAGGATAAAAAAGAAAATGACTTTAAAATATGCTTGTGTGTTAAAAATTTTAAGTTTGGTAAATCTACACATTTGCATAGTTGTTGACACATGGCTCTGAGGTCACCTTCAAGAAGTATAACTTTTTCTGTAATATGAGCTATGGAAAAGGGAAGAATAAATGACAGATGATTTCTCCTCCTCTCATTGTAATTCTAACTCTGGAGATACACGGTTACTTGGATGGCTGAGATTGAACAAAGATAGAAGTGGTTTTATTACAAAGCATATTAACTGCTTGAGAGAAGACCTTTGGTTTTCTCCTTAAGAAGGAAGCTAACTATGAGTAGTTCTACAAATGGATTTTTGCTTATGTTAACCCTTAACTAATTTGTTGAGCTTGTGGCAAAGCACAGTGGTATGTGGGGAGACCAAATAAACATGGGTTTGCATTTTTTTCTCTTCTTTTTTTTCTCTTGAGACAGAGTTTCACTCTGTCCCAGTGTAGTGGTGTGAGCTTGGCTCACTGCAACCTCTGCCTCCCACATTCAAGTGATTCTCCTGCGTCAGCCTCCTGAATAGCTGGGATTACAGGCACCTGCCACCACGCCTGGCTACTTTTATATTTTTAGTAGAGATACTAAAAATACAGAAATATTTTTAGTGTATTTCACCATGTTGGCCAGGCTGGTCGGTCTCTAACTCATGACCTCAAGCAATCTGCCTGCCTCAGCCTCCCAAAGTGCTGGGATTATAGGTGTGAGCCACTGCTCCTTGTCTGTGTTTGGATTTCATAATCACTTTGCATTGGCTTTGTGAGTTCGAGTAAGTTATTTAACCTTTCTGTGCCTTAGCTTCCTCATCTTTACAATGAGTGTCAACAACATTTTGCCTCACATTGTTGGTAGAGGTAGAGATGCTGTAGGCAATGTGCCCAGGTATGCTTGGCAATGACAGGGATCAATAGCATGGTAACTTCTATCTTAACTATTATTAACACAGAGGAAGCTGTTTATAAAGTTAATGAGTTTTTAGTTCCTAATGAATTATTATTGTTCAAATTTGCTTTACACTTCCCCCTCAACCTCCTTTTTTTTTCTTGCAGGGGGAACTGCCCCATGATCAAGATGTGGTAGAGTATATCATGAATCAGCCAAATGTTGTTCCACGAATCAATTCTAGGATTTTGACAGCTGAACGAGACTACCTGGATTTAACAGCGAGTAGTAAGGAGCATTTCAGGAACAACCTTATACTTTTTTTTTTTTGACTTTTATAGATTTTCAGAATCTTTACATTTTTTCAGATTTTAATATTCTGATTATCTTCTGCAGTGTTCAGAAGATAGCCCAAGATTGTGAGAATATTTTATGTGTAAACTCTTTGCACCTTTAGTTCATAATATGAGCTTCTAAATTCATAAGAGTTTCCTCTTAAAGAAGAAAACATCTTCCTGGGCAAAACCCTGTAAACTTTAAAAAATATTTAGTGCCATTTAAATGTCAACTAAACAGACAATTGAGAATGAGAATGGACCTGGATTTTTGGCTTCCGTGGTCATAAAGCAGTTCTCTTTCTTCATCCTCATTCTAGAATCAGCCATAAACTCCACAAATATCTCACTGAATTTCACTGTAAGAACTTAGGAAGGCCTTTAGCAGCTTCATCAGGATACAATGTATATTTCTTAAAACTCAGCCTTTTAAAGTATGCAATTTAATGGTTTTTTTAAATGAGAAAACCACAAAGTTTGTGCAGTCATTACCACTGTCTAATTTTATGTCATTGTCATCACCCCCCAAAATTCCATGTACCTGTTACTAGTCACTGTCTGTTCCTCCCTTCCCCATCCCCTGGCGACAACTAATCTACTTTTCTGTTTCTATTGATTTGCCTATTCTAGACATTTCATATAATTGGAAGCCTTTTGTGCCTGGCTTCTTTAATTTAACATGTTAAGGTTTATGCATGTTGTTGATACGTCAGTATTTTGTTCCTCTTTATAGTCCACTTTGTGGATAGTCCACACGTATCTGTTCCTCAGTTGGTGGACATTTGGGTGTTTTCCACTGGAATACCTTATAAGAGCCAAAAAATGTGTTAAGTCCAGCTGCAATTTGTTCTTTGTGCCTTCCTCGAGACTCTGAAGGCCACTTCAGCAAACACCTGGAAATGAGATGGAACTGTCATCACTAGCCCATGAAATCTCACTGGGGAAGGAAAGATGTGTGTAATGAAGTAATAACCAACTATTTATTATTATAGTTGAGTATAATGAACGTAGCAATCTATGGTTGTTAATGCACTCTCTCTTATCCACTTGAAACTGAAAGTTTCTTTTAGGTAGAGGAAAAATACACACGTGTGTGTGTGTGTGTGTATAACACACATACATAAGCATACATACTGAGGAAAAGATGTAAATATAGGCTTATATTTGAGAAAGAAACTACCCAGAAAGTGAGTTTTTTTCTTCACAGCTGGGTTTTCCTTTCTTCCCTGAAGTTTAAGTAGAGCAAGGTGAGCGTGTTGTGACTCTTCGTCCTAAGTGTTTGTTGTTTTCATCATTTTTATTTAAACTTGAAAAGTTGTCTGTGGAATACACATGAATAAGGAGCATAATAACAATTCTGTTTTTTAATTTCCTTTTCCATTGAGTGTTACTGTAATGAGCTAGGAAACAATGCTAGACCACCATGGCAAAGATGCTGGCTGTCAGATGAACCCAGTGCAGACATCCATTAGGAGGCACTGACATCTTTCTGACCTGGTGGTAATGGCACCATCACCCACGTTTCTTTGGCTTTGGCTGTCCTGGAGCGTTTTCAGTAGCATACTAATTTTTACCAGTATGGTGTGCTGTCCCTTCCTTCACAAAAGGGACTGTGTCTTATTTTCTGCTGTTTTCCTGGATCGAATTCTGTGGATCACAGTGTGCATTGTCAAGTGATAGCGTAGATGAATGAGCATGTGCACAGATGAATAGATGGGTGGGTAGGCAGGCAAACTGTATATGACAGCAATGAGAAGACTGACATTTGTGTAGGGTGCAATGATGTTTAGGATTGGGGAGATTGTTAGAGACAGAGGGTTTATGATACTAGGCTGAACAAGTTCTAGGCTGGAGACCATTTTATAGTCTGCAAGAAATTAGTGGGTAGTTCAGAGCAAGAGAATGACTTGATGAAACTGGAGTTCTAGGAATAATTATCTGAGGGGAAATGAATAATGAGGATTGCCCTTCGACACTAATTGGAGAAGGTGCATATGTGAAAAGAGTGACAGTGACCTTTTATTTCTGTTAAGGGTTTAAAAAGTGATATTTTGTTAGACCTACAAAATAAAAACTAGTTTTGTTATATATTTTCTCTTTTACCCCTGCTTCCTCCATAGGAACGGGAAGAGCTTGCTCTACTGGTTGGACTGGGGAAGGGAGAAATTAGTTAAGGGGATCTCTTTGAGATTATTCTCCAGTTGACAAGTGACAGGAATGGGAATAGGATGAATTTCAGCCATTAAGCTGACACGTACTTATATGATAGTTGTATGAGATATGTATGTTTTCATCAACCTTGTATCTTTGATATGTGACTTCAATAGGGATAGGGGCCATGTTGTGAACTTGTTCAGTAAACATGGAACTTAATAGACTTTGCTCATGCATTTTTATAAATCTTATTATTATGATCAAGTCAGGTTATCAGTTGAATATTAACATTAGATTGAACTGGAACTTAATATATACTTATTTCATTTTTTCTCCCAGATAACTTCTTTGTGGATGATTATGCTAGATTTACTACCTTGGATTCCCAAGGCAAGACTGCTGCTGTAGTCAATAGTATGAACTATCTGACAAAGAAAGGTAATCCATTTGAGGCTTGTCTTGCATTCAACATTTTTAAAAAAGTATTTGCATATTCATCTTAATGTGCAAATTAAGAAAAAAATTAAGGGAAAGAGACTTCATATTTTTCTTATTTCTTATAATGCTGTGAATCTAGAAAATATTTAAAATTTAATCCTTTGTGTATTTGTTTAAAATATACATTTGTTTAAGAATTCAAACATCTTTATAAATTTTGTATTACCTGTTAAGTCAAAAGGAAAATATTTCATAGTTCAAATGGAAAAACATTTATGTTGTTAAAATGGGTTAATGGATTGAAAATGACAGTACAGGGTCAATATTGTTTTGGGGTTTATAAAAGTTGGTTTTAGAAAGCTTTGTATAATCTTTGAAGCTGATTTTATGTAGAAGTATTTATTTAGGCTAAGATTTTATAAAATGATGCCCCTTCAGTGGCGGACAGATTCTGTGCCCCTCTGATCAGTGCTTCAAAAAAGCACTGGCTGTCTTTCAAGGCAGCTATTTTTATTCACTTTTTAAATTTCCGCTGTGGTCTCTCCCTGAGAGAAGTTCTGCTTTTCCAGCAGTATGTAGAATAGAGGCAATTACTCCATTTGGTTCTTGAAAGAAACTTTCTCAGGGTACTAGGACAGCACTGTGACACTGATGAGATTAAGAAACAGGAAGAACTATAGACCATATTAGCTATTGTTTGGATTTTTGACACTTATAGTAGGCATTCATTACAGAAATGATATTTTCTTTTATTCTACTCTTTTCTCTTTACCTTTGTCCAGGAATGTCCTCCAAGGAAATCTATGGTAACTTTAAACTTCAGAATGTCCTATTTCTTAATTTTCTTCTGTGATTTCAGCAACCGGTGTAATTTAGAATTTATCAACACTTAATTGTACTGTTTCTGGAATCTGTAACAGGCGGCTATTATCAATGTAGATAATTTTTTTTCTTTTGATACGGAGTCTTGCTCTGTTACCTAGGCTGGAGTACAGTGGCGTGATCTCAGCCCACTGCAACCTCCGCCTTCCGGATTCAAGTGATTTGCCTGCCTCAGCCTCCCAAGTAGCTGGGAATACAGGTGCCTGCCACCACACCCATCTAATTTTTTTTGTATTTTTAGTAGGGACAGGGTTTCACTATGTTGGCCAGACTAGTTTCGAACTCCTGACCTCAAGTGATCCACCTACCTCAGCCTCCCAAAGTGCTAGGATTACAGGCATGAACCACTGCACCCGGCCAATGTACATTAATTTTGTATAAATATTTCTAAAGAATTTTCAGAAAATTACAAATGAATGTGGTTAAAAATGACAGTATGCCCTTCTTCTCCTTGTTCCTGCCAGAAAAAAATCAATTCAAAAAAATGACAGTATGTTGCCCACATGTTCAAAGGCTATTTTTTACTTTACATGCTGACAGATGCCCAGACCACAGTAGAATTCATTAGTGCATGTTCCTAGTCTGTAACTAAACTCTGTGGAAGATTCCCCTGCTTTCCTTGTAGTAAATTGTACCACCTTTCCTTCTGTCTTTATTAGGCTTGTCATTTTCTTCTTTTTGCATGTTTTTCACAAATTATTTGGTCAATTTCATTTTCAGATGTTGAAACAGAATGTGCTTTTCTCTTCCAACTCAATTAGTTGTTTTTGTTTTTCTACAGATGATTCTTTTATTAGGCCAGTAACTTTTTGGATTGTTGGGGATTTTGATAGTCCTTCTGGACGGCAGTTATTGTATGATGCCATCAGGCATCAGGCAAGTATCTATGACTTTATTTTATATTTTTGTTTGCGGCTGTAGTTGTCCTCATGGACATTGCTGTGCAGCTCAGATTGTTCAGTGGGAGCTCAGAGTCCTGCTTTCTTAATGCTCGAAGGAATGGAGCATCGTATCTCTAGAGATCTGCCAGCTCACAAGAAAAGAGATCTAAGACTGCAGTATCCAGTCTTTGTTGAAAGGAATAGATTCTTGCAGAGACAAAAATAAATAGTGAGCTCCTCGTCATAGACAAGTTTTATCACATGACTGTTCATGTTCTTGCAGCAGAGTTGCTCCAGTGATTGTGTTGTGTACTGTATCGGGGAGATGGGGTCCTTCCCATGACAGAGGTCTGGACATGGGGGCAGTGGCACACGGGAATGGTAGTCTGTGTGTTTAGCAGAGGTAGATCCAGATGCACTGAGAGATACACACATAGATGCTCTGAGAAGATACGCTGCTGTGAATAGTTGGGCTTGAGTAAGTGGCAGTGGCAGGTGGTTGAGAAGCAGCTGATTCTTCTGGAGAGGATCATTGTTAGGGGATAAAATGTCAAAATTATTTTTCCTGGGCTGTTTCAGTTTGCATCTTCACCCGTACCTCACAGCCCTCTTCATGGTCCTCTTTCCACCCTGTACCTGGGAAGGCTTAATGAAATAAGGAAATATCCAGGTGGTTTCAATTGTACTTATGTGCTGAGTGTCCTTCTGTTGCTTATGTTATTGGTACAAGCCCTTTTTTGGCTTTTTCTGTCCTGGTGTTGTTCAAGGAGTGGACCAAATGCTGTGGTCAATTCGAAGTTAGATCAGGGCAGTTACTTCTAGCTAAGGGTGATAGTTATATGTGAAAGGCACTCTAACACAAATGCATACATCTTCAAGTGGTACTGGGGTAGGAGAATGGGGAGGGAGAGTTGCATTTTTTAATAACTGTTTTAATTGAAGTAAAATGTAAGTTCACAGGAAGTGCTCAAATCATAGGATACACAGTGTCACAAAGAGAACACACTCTTGTGACCACCACTCAGGCCAAAAGATAAAGAATTCTTAAGTTCCTAAAAGCCCTCCCACACTTGTGCCCAGACACTACCCCTCTTCCCTCTTCTCACATTAGATAATAGGTTTGCCCATCTTTTAGTTTATTAAAATGAAATCATATGCAATTTCATTTGTGTTTGGTTACTTTGCTCAATCTTTTGTAAGATTTATTCATGATGTTACAAGTAGGGTATATAGTCCTTTTTCATCCTGTAATATTATATCATATGGCTGTACCACAAAGTTTTGTTTGTTTACGCTGTTTGAAGGACAGTTGGGTTTTTAGTTTGGTGCCATTATAAGACTGTTGCAGTGAATATTCTTATGTCTTTTGATACACACAAATATAAATTTCTTTTGCTTATGTTATTGGTACAAGCCATTTTTTGGCTTTGTGTGTCCTGGGTATATTCTTCCACTTGGATTCTTATCTTTTCACCTAGGGAGAGATTGAGTTGTATTCGGAATGTGGAAAGGCCATGGGTTTGAGCAGAGTACTGAAAAATGGTTAGAACTTAAGGAGGGAAAGATGTAATGTAGTTGGGTTGGTATGCCAATGTGAGGCATACCACATTTTATATTCTTCAAACACATGGGGGTAGTGAGAAATGAAATTGGAAAGGTGGGCTGGAGGCCACTTCATGTAAGGTTTTTGAATGGTTGATGATGGCATTTTAATTTTATTCTGAATGCAGAGGAGAACTACTTGAGACTTTTAAGAGAGATTCTATTTGCTACTTATTGAACATGACTGTTGTTAATGCTGCTTTTTAAGTTCAAAAATATCTACCATATGACTCTCATTTCCCATTTTGTGAACAGAAATCCAGTAACAATGTTAGAATAAGCATGATAAATAATCCTGCCAAAGAGATAAGCTATGAGAACACTCAGATTTCCAGAGCAATCTGGGCAGCTCTCCAAACTCAGACCTCCAACGCTGCTAAGAACTTCATCACCAAAATGGCCAAGGAGGGGGCTGCAGAGGCCCTGGCCGCAGGAGCTGACATTGTGGAGTTCTCTGTTGGGGTAAGGCTCCAAGCCTCTCATGAGGCTGCATTCTCTCTGCAGAAGCTCACTCCCTGTGGCTTACATGTCTGGATCATGATCATGATTTGTCGTTTTAGTCTTGAGTCTTAGGGAATTTTTTTTAATTTGGAAGAACCTTTCTAAGAAATAATTCTGTCACATTCCCTTTATTTTAACCTTCCCTAGCTTTCTTGTGGTGCATGATTTGAGTTTTGTGTTAAGTATGGGGCCATTTTGTTATGTACAGTTTTTAAAAGAGACAATATGACTTATTTATAGAGCAAAAAAAATGGAGATTTGAGCCACTTAGGGGTTCAAGGCTTATAGGTTCTTGATGTGTTTCCAGAGTAAGCCTGTGTTTGTTCATTTGTATTATCTGTTACTTTTTTTGACATAGTTTTGTAGTTTTTAAATTTGTTACAGAATGATGAGTATACATTATTTGAAACTTCAGTTAGGAAAAGAAGCTGTCACTGGAAATTAAAAAGATTTTAAAATGCAGAATAAAGGAATGAAGAATAGTCTGCCAGTCAAACAAATCACAGGAAAAGATAAGGAAATAGCAGTTACTCTCAGTAGTAGGGAGATGGTGGGGAGGCTGAAGAATTGACACAGCTTAATGTTAATTATGAAAATTAGTTTATTACTTTCCAGGAAAAGAGAATTTTATGGTTTGTTCACTGTGTTTTTTCATTTATATGGTTTGCATAATAACGACTATTTTTCCTTAATAATGATTACTTTCCTAGGGAATGGATTTCAGTCTTTTTAAAGAGGTCTTTGAGTCTTCCAAAATGGATTTCATTTTGTCTCATGCCGTGTACTGCAGGGATGTTCTGAAGCTGAAGAAGGGACAGAGGGCAGTGATCAGCAATGGAAGGGTGAGGATTTGTCAAGCTTGACTTCACATTAGCTCTGTGAACAGTCTTTGCAGAATTCTTCTCTGAAGCTAGTAAACTCTTCAAACAGGGCCACTCTTTTTTCAAAGGTGATTGGGGCTTATGAAGTGCCAATGATGTTTCTGCCTCCTGTTTCCAAGGGGCTGTGCCTTTTGACATAGGCAAATATCCTTGGGTGGAGCCTTCCTGCCGTCGATTTGTGTCCTGCCATTGTGTGAGGCAGTGAGAGAGTGTGGTGGCCCTCAGACAGTAAATCAGTATGACCTTTGACACAGAAAGTGGCCTTTGTTGTTTTTATTCAGGGAGAATTAATGAAAACTACATTGCAATTTTATTTTACTTTGGAGTTTGCTTACTATAAAATACTGTGATGTACACAGGTTTACACTGTGTCCTTGAGGAATTGATAAGTAAACAGGTAGCTATAAATATTTGTTTTGGACTTCACTTTGTATTGTTTCACTGATTTTATCTAGACATGTACCTGTCTCAGCTTTTTAAGGTGACCTGGTGTATGAGATAGCCTGAGGACACCAGAGGGTTTCTTACCAGCTTGCTGAGTGCAGGCAGCCTTCCAGCTCTGAGCGCCTGCTTTTCTCTCCTTCACAGATCATTGGGCCACTGAAGGATAGTGAGCTCTTTAATCAAGATGATTTCCACCTCCTCGAAAATATCATCTTAAAAACCTCAGGACAGAAAATAAAATCTCACATTCAACAGCTTCGGGTAGAAGAAGATGTGTAAGTTTTGCCATAGGAGGAATTACAGGAGTTATATAATTGGACTTTCTTTATTGGTCAGTTAGGATTGTATATTGTCACTCACTGCATATCCCACGGTGTTTTATTTCCAGTTTTAAAATCTAATAATTCTCTTCAATTCAAATGTATGCTTCTGTTGAAACAAGAGAATTTATTTTGTAGTCTACTATTTAAAGAACTGAATTAGTTCTCTCTTTTTATTTTTATAACTTTGGTTGTGAAAAATTTCAAATATGTGCAGAAGTAAAGAGGCTAGTTTATTTATTACCTGGAATACTTATGTAAAGTGATACTTTCCCTCATTACCTATTTGGTTACCCTTCAGTTTTATTTTGTTCAGGAAAAGAAAGGCAGTTTAAATGTTTCTTTTATTTACCAGTGAGACTACTGAGTTGTTTCCCTGGTGTCTTTTTTTTTTTTTTGAGACGGAGTTTCACTCCTGTTACCCAGGCTGGAGTGCAATGGTGCAATCTCGGCTCACTGCAACCTCCGCCTCCCGGGTTCAGGCAATTCTCCTGCCTCAGCCTCCTGAGTCGCTGGGATTACAGGCACGCGCCACCATGCCCAGCTAATTTTTTTGTATTTTTAGTAGAGACGGGGTTTCACCATGTTGACCAGGATGGTCTCGATCTCTTGACCTCGTGATCCACCCGCCTTGGCCTCCCACAGTGCTGGGATTACAGGCTTGAGCCACCGCGCCCGGCCCCTTGTGTCTTCAAAAGTGATGATGAATTGGTTGTTGTTTTTTTATTTTAAGTATTCCAGTGTTATTATAAGCTGATGTATTTTAGTGTGTTATTTCTCTTAATGGAAGAAAATAAATTGTTTGGATGGAACCTGTAGTCCATGTTATATATACCGAGTTTCTGCATTAAATATCAGATGACTGTGTAGTTGGAGGATACATTTCTATGTTTAATTTTTTGAGGAACCACAATACCTTTTCCCACAGTACCATTTTACATTCCCATTGACAATGCCCAAGGATTTCAGTTTCTCCGCATCCTCACATTTGTAATTTTCTGGATTTTTGTTTGTTTGTTTTTTATAATAGCCATCCTCGTGGGTATGAAGTGCCATCTCTTTGTGGTTTGATTTGCATTTCCCTAATGATTGGTAATGTTGAGCATCATGTCACGTGCAGATTGGCTACATACGTATATCTGGGAAAATGTCTATTCAAGTCCTTTGTGCTCCCCTGACCCAAGATGGAGTCTTGCTCTGTCACCCAGGCTGGAGTGCAGTGGTGCCATGTTGGCTCACTGCAACCTCCACCTCCCGGGTTCAAGTGATTTTCCTGCCTCAGCCTCCTCAGTAGCTAGGATTACAGGCATGCACCGCCATGCCCAGCTAATATTTTTATTTTTATCTTTAGTAGAGATGAGGTTTCACCATGTTGGCCAGGCTGGTCTCAAACTCCTCACCTCGTGATCTGCCTGCCTCAGCTTCCCAAAGTGCTGAGATTCCAGGTGTGAGCCACCATACCCGGTTCTTTTGCTCATTTTTAACCGGGTTGTTTTTATTGTTGTAGAGATGCGGCAGTTTTTTTATACATTCTGGATATCACTTTCTTACCAGATACATGATTTGCAAACATTTTCTCCCATTCTGTGGAGATGTGTTCTTTGATGCATAGTTGGAGGATATAAAATTTAAAAGTTCTTCTGGGGAGGTTGCAGTGAGCCGAGATTGCACCACTGCGCTCCAGCCTGGGTGACAGAGTGAGACTCCATCTCATAAAAAGTAACAAAATAAATATATATTTAAAAAAGTTCTGCTGTTTTTTTTCTTACATCATCATGCTACAGAGTTCAAGGGCATGTTTTAGAGAAATATTGACTAGGAAAGTTGTTAAAGTCAGCTGTTGCCATGTCTTGTTCAATTATATGGGAAGAAACCTTTTCTCATTTTGGCCAGTACTGGGGCTACAAATAAGGAGCGGAGCGTCCCTCTTACCTCAGTGGCTCCCGAGTGATGCCCTTTGTCCCAGCCTATGAAACACTTCCCTGGTATAGGCCAGGAGGTACTCATGACTCGAAGCAGCCGTGCCACAGGCATATGCTGCCCCACCTTGGAGTGGTCCCCTTCCCCATGACAGCCACTGCTATAATTCATGACCCAACCTGCATCCCAAGGCTGTCCTGAAGGTCGGCTCTGGATGCTTTGATCACGGCACTTCATCAGCCTTCAGGGGGTTTCTTGTTGGCCTGTCACCCCAGTCCTTGTAACCAAGTGCCCTTGACATGTTTTGTGACCATGTTGACACATCAGGAAGAAAATGGCCTATATCATATGTATTTGGCATTTATATTGAGAAGTTGAACCAAAATAGTTAATTTGATATATTTGCTGCATTCAAAGGAAATGTATAGGTTTAATTATAGTTCAGATACATTCACAAATACTCTTTTTAAATTCTTACTCAGGATTTAGTCTTTGGTTCAGCAAATTGGAGCTTTTTTTTCAGGTTTAATTCAAGATCTTTTTCTGTTAGAAATCAATTTTAGAAGAGGCAGGGGCAATAAAATTCTTTTTAAAGTTGTTTACTACAGTGTTCATTATCATAGTGAAATTAGAAACAACATAGATGTTCAATAGTTGATTGGTTTAATATTTAGGTTATTTTGTGTCCATAAATATAATATTATGCAGTCATAAAAAAACACTAAAATAGGCTAGGCACGGTCCCAGCACTTTGGGATAACATTGCTTGAGCCCAGGAGTTTAAGACCAGACTGGGAAACATGGCAAAACCCTGTCTGTACTAAAAATACAAAAAATTAGCTGGGCCTGGTGTTATGCACCTGTTGTCCCAGCTACATGGGAGACTGAGGTGGGGGAATCAGCTGTGCGTGGAAGGTCAAGGATGCTGAGATCAAGCCACTGGACTACAGCCTGGACAACTGGAGTGAGACCCTGTCTCAAACAAACAAACAAAAATATTGAAATACTGCTGTATTTATTAACCAACCAAAGGATTTTTAATGATATATTTTTAAGTAAAAATGCAGGCTGTCAGTATAATCCCACTTTTGTTTATAGATATTTAAAAATACAGAATTATGAGCCAAAATATCAGAGCTTATTTCTTGATGTAATGTGTAATTTCAATTTTCTTCTTTATATTTATTTTTCAGTATGCTTTTCCAGTCAATTATTACTCTAATAGTCATAAAAAATAATAGTTATTTAAAAAATATTTTAAAAGGACAAGGGAGAATATACACAATACAGCCTGTAATATATAGGCCAGGGCCTCAGCTAGGTGCATTGCAGAGTTATGCAGTTTTACAAGAGTCACACAGAGTGGGTGCTGTTTCCATTCCACATGTGGGAAAATGAGTAACTTCTTCAAGGTTATAACATTAATCCATCTTTCTCATACCTGCTAATACAGACTTTAGACCTTGTTCAAACCATCTTATTAGCATTCAGTATTTGGGCTGATGATATGTTTGGCAATAATTGGAAAACTTTCCGTTAAAAAGATGCTAAGATTTCTCTAACCCCTTCTTTCAGGGCAAGTGACTTGGTAATGAAGGTGGATGCTCTCCTGTCAGCACAACCAAAAGGAGATGCAAGAATTGAATACCAGTTTTTTGAAGACAGACACAGGTATAGAAATAATGTTGAATTTGTGCGTGTTCTTGAATGTTACACTCTTAAGTTTGCCTTTACCTCAGCTCCTTCACTTTACCATATAAGATTTATGTGTAAGTTCTTATAGGAATCGAATATTTGTTTGGTGTGTAGTTTTCACATAAATATTTGTATTCATATATAAAATTCATAATCAAATCTCAGTTGCTGACTGAGATTTATTTCTAAATTAATCTGAAATAACTCTTAGTGCACCCTTGTAGTAGAAAACAGACTGCATAAAATTAAACAGAGCAGTTGTACTTAAATTCAAGAATGAACAAAGACAGGTCATTGTAATCCCAGCACTTTGGGAGGACAACATGGGAAAATTGCTTGAATCCAGAAGCTTGAGACCAACAAACAAAGTGAGACCCCGTCTCTACAAAAAAATTTTCAGGCCGGGTGCAGTGGCTCACGCCTGTAATCCCAGCACTTTGGGAGGCCAAGGCGGGTGGATCACAAGGTCAGGAGTTCAAGACCAGCCTGGCCAGGATGTTGAAATCCCATCTCTACTAAAAATACAAAAATTAGTTGGGCACGGTGGCACATGCCTGTAATCCCA